TAAAATATAAAATAGAAGTTGGATCATGTAGTTTCCAGCCCTTAAATCAAAATAGTTTTTCATGATGGTGAAAAGTTATCAAGGTAATCTGAAAAAGACTTTTCAGTTATGTGGTGTTCATGCTGTATTCATGCTTGTTTCTATCTTTCAACACTGCTGTACCCTGATGTTGTTCTTGGTGCTGTCAGAGCAGAAATGCAATCTTAATAGAATATACAATCAACACATCAATTCCCTGTACCTGCCATCTCAGACGTGATGACTGCGGTTCAAGCCTGTTCTATACATGTGAGGCCCTGCAGGCTGCTGCACTCGTATTGTTGTATATAGTCGTATATAACACATACAGTTTGCATTACAGACCGTCATACAGATTCAGAGCTTAGTACAAGGAGCTGCAGGAGCTCAGTTCAGTCAGTCATGCAGTCTTTTTTTTGTCCTGTGCTGTAGCACCCACAGGAAACAGAACTGGTGAATGATATGGCAATCATTCTCTGTTGGATATCGCCCTTAATTGTTTCTTTCCGTTTACTTAGCATATGAGTTACAGCACACCATGTTGTGATAAATGATGAAAACAAAATTATCCTTATTGAGATGATTGCAGCCCCATCGACTGGTAACAGCTGGTTCAGTGGTGACAATGAAATATGTCACTGTTACACATGATCCAATAACTGTATAGCCTGATTGCGTATTTTTAACAATGTGTGGACATGCACTGATCAGCCACAAAACTAATAAAAAACCAGGTGGTTACTAGTTTTGTTGTGGCTGATGAAAAACAATGTATCTTTCTTTCATTACTGACAAAAACCTTGTTTGGCTTGTGCCACTGCATGGAGCCTGATGTGATGCAAAGAAACGGCAGCCTGTTTCACAAGCTTAGTTAGCTATTAGGTTTCTGACCTTCTGGAAATGGTGGTTTAGATATATCGATCTTCAATTTGCTTTTAGTGCCGGGCAAACTGCTAACTGCAATTACACACATACACATTTTCAATTACCGATGAGTGCTCTGTGCACATATCCACAAGCACTTAACTCACATGGAAATTAACACACACACACACACACACACACACACACACACACATATACACACACAAACACACACACACACACACACACACACTCACACACACCTATTACATTGGTATGTTCATTTCCTGGAGACTCCAACCTTAACTATAACTACAACATGTGTTTTAACACTTACGCTGATATTTAAAGCTTTCATAAGCTAACGGTTTATGAAATTCTATTTGGATTGCACTGAAATTAATGAAATGAACATATTTATCATAATTACAGAAACTACATGCTCACAGGTATAGGGAATTTTTTAAATTGTACAATAAAAAAGTCATTCGAGGCATCAGTCCCCTGTTATTTTCTTTTTCTCTGAAACCCTTTACTATTTCGTCTATGTCAGTGATGGAGTAGTTGACCAGGGCCTGACCTGAACTTAAATACCTCCGCTGACTGCCTGACCCCTCATCTTCTCTGCTCATGATCCACAGTGACCCTGGCCTAAAGAAAATCCATAACTACTCTGAAGTAGGCTTAACCGGCTCTACTGTTCCTCATGACTCATTCTGCTTTTTGACAATAGGTGCTATAGTTGTGGCATTTGCATGGGTTTGTGCACATTACCAAAAGTAATTATTTTGTCATTGTTGGTTGTGTGTTTGTGTGGGTGTGTGTTGGGGGGGGGGGGGTGACAGATTGTTTGATGGCCGCAGCAGTGATGTCATTAGTAAAGAAAATACAGTGATACACTGCTGCTGCTGCGGATAATACAGTGAGTGAGAGTAAGGACGGTAGAAAGAACGGAGCCTGAAATAAAAAAATTATCTAATTCAAAGGTGGAGGCAAAAAAAGAATCGCTTCACAGAATGTCAGAATGTGAGGGAACTTGTTGCATCGCCTGTTCGTATTTAATCATCCAAAACTGCAGGATCATTAAATTCAAAGACAGCTGCGATGTCCCCAATATATAAAATTTAACAGAATTATGTTTTTAAATGATTTTGAAAGGAGGCTCTGGAAATAGAAAGGTAAATATTATACATTATACAGTTAATCATATTCTACACAGACCCGTCTGCTAATAAGCCAGAGTACTTGTGTTTGTACTTAGATGGTTCCATCTGCTGTTTTAAATGTTATTGATGAAGTGGATTAAAAATAATTAATAATCTGGCTTTAATTCACCACCTCACGTCTGCATCATCGCACGCATGGGTCAGAGTGAGCTGACAGGTGCGTACATTCTCCCGTCAAGTTTGTTTTTATAAATCCAAACTTGTGCAAACCGTGCATCTTTCAGGCCCCGTGTTGTGCGTACACAACGGTTAGAAATAAGGCCCCAAAACGATATAAATAGTTCTTTAATGTCTCAACAAGACTCTTAAGTAAATAATGGAAAGTTACTTGTAAACTAACTTTGTAAGAAAAGAGCTTAATTTGTTTCTATATATCAGTTGATAGTCATTATTTTTCCAATTGTCAACAAACTGAAAAACTCCAATGACTTGATTCTCCTGAGTGTTGTTTGTGTGTATGTATCTCACTCATCTGTGCTACAGAGCTGCATTACTGTCCAAAATAAACACATCAACCCAGTTTCCCTGGGCGACTGCTCCATCATTATAATCAGCATGGTCACTGTGATTTATTTTCAGGCGATCCCACATACACCGTCCTCTCATTCACACTCACACCAGCCCAAAATGTGTATTAATCCTTGTGGTGTGTAAATAGTCCTCAACATAGACTACTCCTAAGTGAACATTTGCCAAATATACTACCACAGCTGTTTAGTAAATTGTTTAGCTGTTTTATGGCTTTTTTTTTTTTCAAACTTCTCAGCTGATTTACATCCTCAGTCTAAACTCAGAGCAACTGAAAGTGTAATTAAGTCAGAAAATGTGGAGAAACACAATATTTGTTTTGGTAGTGGGTTTTGTTCAGTGTAACTAAAATCGAGAATATCACAGGTCGGGATTAATTTGCTGAAGCTGAACTAGTCATTGACTTTATTCTTATAGTATAAATAAACTTTACGATTACTTTTATCATCTCACAAAACTTAGAAAAGCTTGAAGTTAATTTCTATTGGTTTCTTATTAACAAAGAAAGAATTTATAGGAGGAAATGGGAGAAGACGTGTTTAACTTGGTCCCCAGCCTGACTGTTAGTACGCTGCCCCGCCCCGACTGACAGCAACAGAGCACTGGTCACCTGTTAATTCCATTAACAAAACACATGCCATACAAGCGTTAAGACAAGATGAACAGTTTGCGAGATATACGTTCCACATACAGACAGATGTTTGTGGATTGTGTAGATGTCATTAAATAAATATAGTCAGCTCAGAACAGGCTTCACTTCTGCTCGGGAACATCCAGTAATTGAGAAAGTGCTTTTGCAGCAGCATGGTCCTTTAACACTGTGCAGGGGGCACCATTCTGAGTTCAGAGAGAAGTTACTGGATCAGAACATCTGTTAGGCATGGTGGCAATCATCATTCAGAGACCATGGGTGGTGCAGGCGCCGCAGTTTGTTCTTCTGGAAGGACTTTACCATATGCTGTGGCATTCCGAGGTGTCTGTAACTGCTGAGCCACTTTCCCACAGCATGCCACAGATTTGCTGCATGTCACTGGAGGATGTTATTTCAGAGTTTTTAAAATTCTAATCGGAGAAATGACGGTTTATCTACCGTGTGACTGCCTGCCACAATTTTTTTTTTACCTTAAGTATTTTTGTCTGCTGTCACAGCATCCCTCAGCCGACAATCAATCAATGAGTGATGCTTTTCAAGATGCCATATATTTACTGCCTGGCTTCATATATCACTTCATATGAACGACACTCATGGTATCAGAGATTTCTGGTTGTCAACTCTCCGAGGTATTTATTGGTCATAGGTTCACAGAGAAAAAGATCAAACACTCTTCCTCTTTCTTCAGTAGGAACCAATGGATGATAACGCCTGCATCATTAAGCCTTCAGCCATGTTACATACTAACCATTTATCTAAAAGGAGAAGTTGTTGGGATTAAATTGTGCAGAAGTGTGTGTATAGTTCAGCATATGTGTCCATGCAAACATTTTATATTTGTAAGTCTTAAGCTGCATCATTAAACATGATTTGTTAGACCAAGGCCAGTTATGTACATGAAGAAACTGTTTAATCACGACACACCATCTATATTCTCACAGTAGTGGTAAAATATGAAAAGGTGTGTGTGCATTATCCTCCTTAAACCCCTGGAGTTGTAAAGTATAAAGTTTATTCACTTTACCACTATTTAATAAATATTTTATGTTGTTGAGATAAAAATGAATAGCAAACTATTTGGTGTAAGATAAGACTTACTATTTTAAAGCAGAGCAAAACTATGAAATGTAAATAACCTAGAATTACCTTCAAATATTCAGGCGTGTTTCTCCTTAAGTGAATTGAGACTGTGTTCAACTTGACTTCCCATCAAATGCAAGTTTCCATTAAGGAAGAAAAAGTATCAATATGTCCAGAGAAACGTATTAAGCCATGCCTGCAGAGTAATCAGTGATGTGTTGTTAAGCTTCATATTTTTTGCTTAAATATGATGTTTTAGTTTTTTGCCAATTGAAAAAGATGACTGCCTCCGGAGTAAGAAAAATAAGGCTTTTCAAAGGCGGTATTTTTTATATTTGGACCTGGGGAGGATTCATTTTCACTCAAAAAATAAAAAAATGTGGCTGAAGGTTTATGAAGACTTCTTTGTTTGGTGATGTTAAAAGGCCCATTCTTTTAGTAAACAGAAGTGCAACAGTGGAAATCCAGAATCCTCAGGCATTCCTTCTATATTTGTCTGTATAAAAGTAAAAAATACTTCTGCGATTAACCTCCTGTACAAATTCACATTTAATTAAATCTCTTTCTTGCTTCTGTCTAGGTGTGGCAGTGCGGAGGGAGTATGGAGGTCCTGCCATGTGCCAGAGTGGCCCACATCGAGCGCACCAAGAAGCCCTACAACAATGACATAGATTACTACGCTAAGCGCAATGCCCTGCGGGCGGCTGAGGTGTGGATGGATGAATACAAATCCCATGTCTACATGGCCTGGAACATTCCCATGAATGTAAGTTTTCCTCAGTCTCAGGTCGTGCCCTGTCTCAGTCCTTGAGCTCCCTTTGCCCCCTCTCTTACTTTCTTACTTTCTCATTCAGACATGCAGCCCAGGTCTCCAGAGACACAGGTCAATAGAAATTCAGAATTCAGATTTCATTCCACTTGACCTTCACACTGGCGGCGCAGCAAAGACAGAGTGAGGAAGCGGTGGAGTCTCACTCCCAACAGATGAGAGAGGTGCGCCAACTGAGGGATAGGAGCCTCACGTCTAATTAGTCTGATTTCATACACATCAGTTAAGTGTAATTGCTTTCAAGGGCCTTTTGAGTTGGGCTGCAAAATAATACAGCTACTTTCACTAATAAATAGTTTAATGTTGAATCCTAATTGCCTCTTCAGCCATGCAGAATGAGATGATTGTCAGTGAAGGACGTCATTGGAGACCTCACAGCACTGTCCAAAACAACGTGCTGCTGCTCATACCAAACTGATAAGCAGCTGTGCAGCAGTCACACACTGATTTGATATGCTGCTGCTGCCTGTGTGTTGTCAAAGTTGGCAAAAACATCATTACATCAACCTACTAAGTGCAGGTTGAAGGTGCCAACTGAGTAAGGGGTGTGTGTACGTGCGTGCGTGTGTGTGTGTGTGTACGTGCGTGCGTGTTTAGGGGGCGGGGGGCTTGACAAACTGGCCTATCTGGCCACATCCCTTCTCCTGTGTAATTACAAACACAGTAGCATGGCATGTTATTACCCAAGCTGTCCGGCAGTGCAGAGTTATTTTCTGCACACAGTACCAAGATGTAGCGTCGCGATTATTCTATCTAGCTCCCCCTTCCTTCTCCTCCCTCCCCTGCCCTTCTTTCCCATCCACCCATACAAACAATCATGGATTCTTGTTATTGAAGAACCTGCAGAGCACATATTAACGTCATTGGGGGAGGTTTGATGATGCACCACTTTGGTCAGCACCAAGTACAAATTCTCAATAACATCTCACTAAAAAATGGAATGTATCTGTTTGTGTATTAGATTTAGTCAAAGTCTTACGCCAAATCTGTTTTCAGTACAGAATTAAAAGTGAAAAGTCATTCTGCTTAACATTTTATATCTAACTTAATCCTGGTTATTTGTTTTTCAACATTTCAATATTTGTGAACAGACAAAATGGAACAATCTGAGAGAAGGGGGGAAGAGGGGAGTGGGAGTTGTTGGGTTGTGAGTGAGGGATTGGGGGGTTAAAGGGAAAATGGAGTTACTCCTCTCTTTCTCTCTCCCCCTTTTCCTTATGTTTCTATTTCTTTCTGCTCCTTCTTTAGATCCTTGATTCTTTCTGTCTCCTCCTTTGCTTTCTTTTCCTCCTTTTTCTATCCTTGCCTTGACAGAGGTGGCATGTCTCAGTATTTGCTCTTTCCAAATCTGAAACACATTTGCAATCTGACAAGTTTTTATTCAAATCAAACTGAGCTGATGTAATGTAAATGAAGGTAGCTTAATGTCCTTGTTGAGTTGCTTTGGGCGCCACTTCTCCTCTGTGACCTCGATCAGTCTGTACAGCTCTTTTATTTTCTCCGAGCTGGCCTCCTCCTCTACTCACATCTCAGACTGTCCTCTAGAGCGCTGACCTTCATCTACCAGTCGCTCTCTCTCTAGGGGACCTCTGTCTGGATGGATTCCAATTTTGCACGAGCTCCTGCATGGTTTCTACTTGCACCATATTTTCAGTTCAGTCAGACAACTCACGTTCAAATGTTTATTGCAGCATTAGAAAACATAGTTTGTTGTTGGTGTCTAGGCTCCGACTCAATCACTCGCCCGATATGATTACACAGATATGATGATGAGTGAGGAGCAGATAATTGTAACACCCCGAGAAGGCTACAGGTGGCTACTGGGGTGGTGGAGGGGCAGAAGCAACTGGTAGCGATACTGCAGCAGCAATGGGAGGAAAGGGGTTGCTGGGAACTTTCTCTCTGCTTAAATAGGCTGCCTAATGAGGTGGGTGTGTATAATATATGATTGTGGAGAATGAGGTATGTCACATGATGTGTGTCACATGATTGGAGCAGCGCAGCTCGAGTTGGCTGCCTGAACTAGCTCGCAGGGTTCGCTCCATCTGTGACACTACCGATTGTCCATCCTTGAAAAGGTGACTTCTGCTTGCCGTCACATGGTCACACTTTTGCCTCAGCTCCTTCTTGAGCCCCTGGGTGTCACCCTGCTTGTTTTAAAGTTGAGCAGTCAAGGATTTTATTTGCTTGCTTCTTTGATCTGAATATCTTTGTTATCTTGAGCTATGTTTTCAAGTGCTTAGCGAAGCTGCCTGGAGTCGATCGGATCCTGCATCTTTTTCTCCTCCTTGTACTAGATGCTGTCTTTGCTGGCCTTCAGAGCTGTTTTCTGTTGAGTCAGCCCCATATTCTCAAACTCTAATTCTTTAATTTTTTATTGGAGAAACTATTCTTTTTTATTTATTTTTTATTCGATGTTCGAGTGACTAAAAGACACAAATATACACAGTTAAAATACAAATCCTATCCTGACTTTGGATACACACAAGAAGGCAGATCTTTCTCCTTTATACTGATTCACACTGCTCTTTTAACTCTTTTAACTTCCTTTTACATATACGTCTGATTTTAAAGAGGACTGTAAAACGCATTATTAATTATTATGAAACTTTAACATTTAAATCACATTTAAAGTTCTTTCAAATATGGTTTCTGCATTTCTTTTAAATACGCTTTCTCAATACTAAAGTGAAGTCGCCTAAACAGCAGCTGCTTAACATCCACAAACACGCATGTCATGCAAACTATTGTCTAGACTATCTAGAAAATTATTTTGTTGAAGTTTTTGACAAAAGATGAAAAAATAAAAACTAAGTGACCTGAATGAGTGTAGCACTGTACCCTAACCCACTTGAGTTTTTGGGCCGAGTACAGGTACTTTAGACGTGTGTGGGTTAAAGCAATAGTGGGTTCTCTATTGATGTCTTTCAGCTGCTGACGAGTCACATTCTCGGGTTCCACAATAATGTCTACCTTTCTATGGGTTGTTCATGTTTTCACATGAAAGGTTATAGTCTTTGATACGTCCCACAATAAAAATATGAAAAAATGTGTAACAATGATGTAAACAAAATTCCCTTAAATGTGCTTCAGTATTGTTTGGACAGTGGAACAAAGGTTTTAGCTTTCAATTACAAGCCTACACTCCACTTTAACTCCGGGTTGCTCATGTGCTCCATCAGTGAAACTGTGCTGAGACTTAACAGCAGAGTTGGATTCAGATTGCAATGATTATTTATCATAATTTGTTATATGAGCATATGCATCTGCGTTTGCATCAGTTTCCTTTCACAGTTTGGTTATACATTCCGTGCTTTCATTTGCACATTCATGCACTTTTGAGCAGCACACTGTACAAGCACAAACCAATATTGGCCTTATGTAAAATGTGTATGTGTGCATGAGGATCAGCCCTCTGTGCAGCTATTAGAAATTCCCCCAATCAATCTAGGAAGCCACCTCCATAACGCAGACAGGGCCGTGAGGGCTCATAATTAAGCAGCTGATTAGAATTTGCTCAGCGCAGATCATGTCTAATGAAAGAACAATGAAGGTCCCACACGACAGGCTCATCTATCCATCTCTTAACTAAATGCTTGTTGCGTTCTCTCAGCACCTCAACACTCTTCCGTCTTCCATTTCTCCACTAGGACTCTCACTTGGTACTTAAGTAAATTACCAGCTGGCTAAGTCTTTTTTTGTCTTTGTTTCCCCATGACTCACTAACAGAACCCAGGCGTTGATTTCGGAGATGTGTCAGAGCGCTTGGCCTTAAGGAAGAGGCTGCAGTGTCGGAGTTTCCGCTGGTACCTTGAACACGTCTACCCAGAGATGCGCATATATAACAACACGATCACCTACGGAGAGGTGAGTAAGATACTTCATAACAGGATTACTGGCAATACTCTGCATGTTCATTTTCCTATGTTCTCATCTGTAATTGTATTACAGAGCTGTGATAGAGAGGATGCATCCAGTGAGAGAGCTAATTTGATTCAATAGATGATACATGCAGAAAATGAGTTGGTGATAATTTCATAATTTGTGAGTTATCAGGGTGTTTCTGTGACTTGTGTCTTTAGTGATAAATGTTTGTCTGTGACACAAATATCTGCAGCTTGTTGTTGTAGCTTTATTTTGCACTAAGCATCTTCACACAGGGTTAAACACAATTTCCTCAAAATGAGATGTCATCTCCAACTTGATTGCTTTGGGCTTGGCTCCACTCTCAACACAGTGGGGGACAACAAGAGGACTATAACACTTTGAAGACCTGAACAAACCCAGAATCAGTAACTTAATGTTTTTCTTTTAATAATTTCAATTCACATCAACCAAAAGCAGAGGAAAATCAATATGATCTGCAAGTTTAATGTCAGAATACATCAAATTGAACCTCTACATTCATCAAAGCAATGTGAATTTACTCCCCCCTTTGTTTCACCTGCCATCCACTTAGCCACCTAATGGATTCCTTGCAGCAGCAGCCACTTAAGAGGCACTATTTCAGGTCTGTCGACAGGCAGAGAAACACTTCCCTTGTGTTGCCGCAGCAGAAGTGAGTCTCATCCGTCACTGAGCATCAGCGCCGCGCTAGGTCACGCTGACCAGAGCAGCCGAGTGGAACCCTCCCTGACAACAGTGCATGATAGATATGTCACAACCTGGAAATGAAGCCGTACGCATTCAAATCACACAGAGCCGAAAGCTCATGCTCAATGCACACCACCATCTGGAGGTCTGGAGGAGAGGGAGGGATAGAACCAGGACTGGTCACTGCATAATAATATCCTATCATAGCCCAACAGTCGCTCTGAAAGGATGTAAGACTGCTCTGTATGAACAGGGCACAATGGATCTGACATTGACAGACACAGCACAGGAGGGGGGGTAACATGCACATGCACACAGGACTAACACGTAAGATTGAAGGGACTAGAAAAGCTACAAAAGGGATTGGCAGCCACTGACAAGGATGAACTTCAAGGAGAGGTAGAAAACTGTTCCAACTAAGTTTTTTTCCACACAAAGGTTGAAATAAATCAGCCCAGTACAGGATGGTTTGATCTGACAACCTTTTAATGTAGAAATACTGTAATTACACAAATTCAGATCTTTCCCCCCGAGTTTTCTCTGATTGGATTGATCATCACAGGACTTCTTTTCTTTTAAAAGCCATTCTAATTAATTGTTTCATGTGGTGAAGTCACTCTTTTATCAAACTTACACCACTGATGTGCAACAGTAATTGACATTGACATTAAAATGCCTCTTTTGATAGCAACACCCTCATGGCCGTGCACAGACATCAGCAGTGTTTGTGTCTTTTAGTGACAGTGTCTCTGTGTCGTCTTTCAGGTGAGGAACAGCAAGGCCAGTGGATACTGCCTGGACCAGGGCTCTGAGGACGACGACAAAGCTATCCTCTACCCCTGCCATGGCATGTCCTCCCAGGTCAGACCACACTCATAGACTGTGTGTTCATGTCAACAGCTGTGTTCATCACACTCAATTTAATTCTTGTGTCACTGTATATCTTCAGGAGCTATATAAATGGAATGTGTGTGGATTCAATGAGGATGCATAATCTATACCTCAAAAGAAGCACAACATTCAGGACAACATCCAGAGATATAGATAATCATGGATGAAGAAAGGGTATAATGTCAGACTTAAGGCAGCCTTACACTTTCACAAGTTTCCCATCCATCCATTCATCTATCCATCCATCATTCACACATGCAAAATGTAATGTGGCGGGTGGCTGTGGCTGAGGGGCAGAGCGGTCATCCTCCAACTATAAGGTCGGAAATTCGATCCCCAGTCTTCTCATCTGCATGCCAAAGTGTCCTGGGCAAGATGCTGAACCCCAAATTGCCCCATAGAACAAAAAAAAGTGCTGCTAATAGATGAACTGTATGAATGTGTGTGTGAATGGCAAATCTGTAGTGTAAAGCGCTTTGAGTGGTCATCAAGACTAGAAAAGCGCTATATGAATACAACCATTTACCATTTAATGTGACTCAGAGAACCGGAACGTACAGTCAAAGTCATCTTAAATTTGAATTCTGCCGTAAGTACAGGACATGCACGGCATTGGAATGTTTCTCTGATGCCTGGTGTAAGCATGGAGTAAGTACACAGAACACACATAGCTTACTAAAAGATCATTTTTGAGGGGTCTCGGTTTTGAAAATAGAAAACATAGACGATAGAACCTCTTTTCATTCAGAGAGCAGCCTGACAGAGCTGCCTCTTAATTGCCTCTGTACTGTCTCATTTAATAAGCACTTAATCCTCCTGGAGTCACTAAAGATTCAAAACAGATTCAGGGTTTTAAAGCTGGAGAATATGAGATCAGATTATTAATGCACAGTGATAATACATTAGCACTTATTTAAAAATGTGACGCATCAGTCAACATGTTCATTTAACATTGAACAAACTCATATCAGCATTTTCAAAGTTGAATGAACAGAGCCTGGGACTATAGAACTTCTGTAAATATAAGATAAGATAATGTTATGTTATTACAGTGGCATTAGTACAGATAAATACTAAGACTAAGAATAGAATAGAACTATGCTCAAAAATAATCGTTACAGTATAGCACCAAGTCAGTTAAACTTCAGGGACATCAATCTGTCCATTTAGGAAGCACAAGTGATTGTGAATTAATTGAATGAAACTGACAACAGGTGCAATGAAGGCAAAAGCAAAAAGGGAATGGTTTCACATGTGGTGGTCACAGACAGTTGCTCTCTCCTTATTCTGCCTGACTGATTCTTCTCTAGTTTTGTGTTCTTATAGTGTCCTTGTCACTACTGGTAGCATGAGGCGGTATCTGCAGCCCGATCAGGTTGCACAGGTAGTCCAGCAGCTCCTGGAAGACACATCCATACGTGTGGTTGCAAGAAGGTTTGCTGTGTCTACCAGCACAGTCTCAAGCTAGGAGGCAGGCTATTTCACAAGGAGAGCTGGACAGGGGCGAAGAAGGGCATCAAACCAGCAGCAGGACTGGTATCTGCTCCTTTGTGTGAGGAGGAGCATTACCAGAGTCCTACAAAATGACCTCCAGCAGGCTACAGGTGTGCATGTTTCTGACCAAACTGTCAGAAACAGACTCCATGGAGGTGGCGTGATGGCTCAATGACCTCTAGTGAGACCTGAGCTCACAGTCCAGTACAGTGCAGCTCGATTGGCATTCACAAGAGAACACTAGAATTGGCAAGTCTGCCTCTGGCGCCCAGTTCTCTTCACAGATGAGAGCCAGTTCACACTGAGCACATGTGACTGGCGTGAAATAGTTTTTTAGATGCCGTGGTGAACGTTATGCTGCCTGTAACATCATCCGGCATGACCAGTTTGGTGGGGGGTCAGGGATGGTCTGGGGAGGCATTTCCTTGGAGGTTCGCACAGACCTCCATGTCATAGCCAACGGTAGCCTGACTGCTGTTAGGTACCAGAATGAAATCCTCAGAGAGATTGTCAGACCTTACGCTGGTGCAGTGGGCCCTGGGTTCCTCCTGGTGCAGTGGGCCCTGGGTTCCTCCTGGTGGGCCCTGGGTTCCTCCTGGTGCAGGACAATGCCCGGCCTCATGTGGCCAGAGTGTGTAGGCAGTTACTTGATGACTGACCCCTGACCTAAATCCAATGAGCTCCTATGGGACGTTATGTATCGGTGTATCAGACGCCGCCAAGTAGCGCCACAGACTGTCCAGGAGCTCACTGATGCCCTGATCCAGGTCTGGGAGGAGATCCCCCAGGACACCATCTGCCGCCTCATCAGAACCATGCCCAGACGTTGTCTAGGGTGCATACTGGCACGTGGAGGCCATACACAGCACTGAGTCACATTATGAGGTGCTATGATGAAATTCACGTTGACGCCTGTGTTTTGGGTTTTGAGTCCAGCACTCAATTCAAGATTCAAGATGTTTATTGTCATGTACACAGCAGATAAACACAGTTTACAGCATGTAATGAAATTCTTACTTTATTTTCAATCTCCCAGCATACAAATATTATAAAATAAAATAGTATTAAAAGAAAAAGAAGAAGAGATCTATAAAATAGTGCAAGTAATTTTTTACAAAATGAAATAAAAATGTAAAAAAATGCAGAGTAGAGGTAGGTATGTTTGTTTGAAGTGCAGAGTGTACAGATTATTGCGATGGTAATTGCACATTGATTAATTTCACGTTTGTAGTCAGTGGAGTTAATACTTTTGGTTTCCATTGACTGTATTTACTTAATTTTGTTCTCAACAATTTACTCAGCAATTAGTAAAGATTTCCAACTTGAATAATTCATTCGTTAAGATCTGAAGTGTGATTCAAGTGTTAACTTATTTATTTGAGCAGTGTATATCGGAACAATATGACACCAAAAACAATGACACAGATAATTACAGCAGTGAATAAAAATGAAGGCAGTCAGTTCATCCACTAGTAATGTGCTTGTGCTAGTTGTGTAAACCATCTCTAAGTGACAGTGATGATGATGAGTAAAGTAGTAGCACTGAATCAGATATGATAAAATACATTTCTCAATGGATCATATAAACAGGTGTGACTATATATGACAAAAACTGATTGAAAGTCGATCCAAAGCCTGGCTTTACATGATTTAAGTGACTTTGATGCCAACTATTAAGTTTGATGACTGTTGTTAATATGCACTCGTTATACTGCAGATGGATGTTAGCACTTGTCACTAAATATTAAATCTAACCACTGACAATGATGTAATGTTGAAGTCAAGTCTCAGCCTCTAAAATGTGCAGATTCATGAAGACCTGAAAAACTTGAGTTGTTAACAACACATTGATTCTGGCAGGGAAAAACACAACAAATCTTTTCATATGATCTTTTCATGCTGCAACATGGTGCTGGGTTTGTTTGTTTACCTCAACGCCTCCATAAAGATTTACTTCTCCAGAAACATGTTGTCAGAATTGCAACCAACTTATAACAACATCACCTCTTCACCTTTTCAACTTTTTCCACTTTGTGATATTTCTGTTTTCCTATGATATACTTTCATAAACAAAAAATACAATTAAATGAGGAAGAATCATTTTACCATTATTCACCCAAACAGTCATAACTCATGAAACTCTTTTCCACTTTCAGATTAAGAATAACTTAATGATCTATGTTTTTATTACATGCCATATCTATACAGAGAGAAAAATTCAAATCGCAAATTACGTCAGAGCCTTACAAAGACTTCTTTGGTAATTCAGATGAATAAAATAGTATATATTATATTTTGCAGAATAGATTTTACTGGATACTGATATATATGAGATCTTCGTAGTTCAGTATAACACAGAACATATCTCCCAACTGCTTCTTGTTTAGCTTTTATTTTAAAAGCATTTAAATGTTTTCACTTGCTCAATAAAAAAATAATGACAATAATATACAGCCACTCAAACAGGGGAACAGTGGAAAACTGGGCCATTCCCAGGTGAGAGAAGCTAATTATGTGAGTATGGAGCTGGATGATGCTGAAAAAAAAGACTGTGCACTCAGTATAACCTTTACTTGAATAGATACCAGGACAAAAGGCTTTGTGGGCGGGAGCTTAATGTCCTGTTTTTGTTCTTATTCTCCTTTTTGTGCCGTGAAACAAAAGTCAATCCTGAAGACGACTCATGCAAATACTGTTCATGCCTCATTATTTTCTTACATTAGTCACCTTTCCCTACTGCTTCTCCTGCTGGTGAGTATGTTCTTCAGTCATCTGTCATATCGAGGGAGTATTATGAGGACGATAGTGGTTCCCCAGTTTCTCCTCTGTTCTCCTCCAGTGAAAGTCTATGGGGGTCCAGCTTCACTGACTCCTTTAAGCCTCATCCGCAGGAAAAATAAACAAATGGAGATGAATTTTGTGCCCTTGTATCATTACATTACAATGATGACCGACATTACTATGAGCAGGACAAATTCAATTTCATGGGGCATTGTGATTTTGCATTCCTCTTTACCAATGCTCTTTTTACTTATTGAGAAATATAATTGGCCAGAATAAATCTTTATTGTGCCTTTGAGGAATGAGGCTCTTTCTGCCGGCAGTGGAAATCTAAATCATGCCTAATGTCTCACCTTTGTTCAATAGTATAATGCAGTGAAAGCATGGTTTTGTGTAGCAGGATTAATTCTCTGCTTACATACACATGCACACTAAGCAGCTGGTTTTTAAAATGAATGATGCGTCTTCTTTGTTGGCTCATGTATGTGCAGCAGTGCGAAACGAGCTGGGTAGAGGTAAAAACACAGTATCTATTGCCCTAAGGCTCACACTCAGACCTACAGTGCTCTCTTTATTGAGTTCTCTCCCTGCTATGTGTGGTGCACTCAAGTGTACATGATGCTGATGGACAACCTCTGCACCACTTATGCTAAGGGGCCTCTTCAAGGTATAATATGTAACTTTTCTAAAATGCTACATATACAAAGACAAGAGCTATGTTGTTATTTTTGTCGAGTTGTATACTTTCATTCCAATTTCAGTTCTAAAAAAATCCATAATTTTTATCAAGGCCCATTCATGAGCGAATTTAATTGGTCCAAACTGAATTTATCCAGTTTTACGCCACTTTAATCAATACATTTTAGATTTGTGTGGATTCTAATAACGTATCGTGGGTTTAAGAACGCAGCTGTGTGTAAAAATCAATATTTATAAATCTTTATCAATATCTCAGCATAAAATACAACCCACAAATGCAGAATCTATAGAGTCTCAGCTCTCATTTGCATCTTTCTGAAAGAGCTTACGTCAATCAGAACAGGAGTTACGAGCCTGTAAGGAAAGAGTGGCACATGCGTCATCTGTTGCTACCTTCACACAATTAGGGGATTAGTTCGTCCACCTGTCTTTGTTGCGATACCAACCAGTCAGCACTTATATACCCATCACTATGAAACACCTCTGTTTTTATTGGATAGACAGAATGTGAGAAAAAGTTAAAAAGAAGAGACTGGCAAAGATTACAATTACAGTTCCAATGGAGCTTGATATGTAGTATGATGTCATTATTCAGTCATCTTCGTCCAAGCCCCTCTAACATTTAGTGAAAGTATGGTGACAGGCAACTTTTATACCCAAAATTACAGTTTTTGACAGTTATTTCCCATTCATCTATTATTTCATACATATATTTCACTATTTTGTGGACCTAGGACTTTGGTAAACCAATATCAGGCATCAAAACAAATCATCCGCATGAATAAAAGTATCTTCACAAGAGATTTGAAGAATTTTTAAAAATAAATGTTTAACAAGACATGAAATCCTGGAAAAGACACCAAACTATATATTTTAACTGAAAGGAATTTAGTCATCGGACGTTTGAGTCATAAGAGACTCAAGCTGAGCAAACACTACTGCAGATGTTCTGACTCCTGGTGAAAAGCCTCCTGAACGTGCGGATCATAAGTTATCACAGAAACAAGCAGGGCAACCATTAGCAGCAGCTCAGTTAGAAGCCCCTCCAGGATGAGTTTTAATGTGAAACTGCTTCATTCAGTGTTATTACCAGGTTTAATCACCTGATCTGTTTGTTTTGGAGAGGAGGAGACCTCTGTGGATAATGTGGCTCCTGGTAAAATCTTTCTGAATGATTAACACTGAAGGGATTTCTTACTGGGAAAAGCTGGACTGCAGTTACAGAGGCGGTGGTTAAGGGAACAACATCCCTGATCCCACACTGATTCACCAGCCTCTTGTTTTAGTCAGAGACCCCGAGAGGCAAGGTCTCCACTTTTTAAGATTATGAACGTGTTAGAACCCCAATGCAAAGTACAAAGACTCCATCTTATATTTATATTATCACAGCTTTGCACCATTAATGAGCTAATTAAGAAACTTGTGATTAGCTCGACCTCCAAAGTGGCTTTTACGATAACTTTTACGATGGCAGGAAATCAATGGAGCGTCTAATGGCACAGGTTAATTGGCTTGGCAGAATCATTTCCTCACCGTAATTATTTGTTGTGGTCCCATTCTAAATGTATTAGCGTATAAAAGGCTGCCTGACTGAACTGTAAACAGGATTAATGGGGATTATATGGGGTTTCCTTGTGTCCAGTTTAGTTTAGCCATATTTTACTCC